CGGACACTAGGAGTAATCCCAGCCAGTAAAGCGTGGAGAGAGTGTCATGTGACCTTGAGCTCCCTGTGTCCCTCTGCCCAACCGGCAGGTCACGCGATTTTCTCCCGAAGCTGGATCGGCTGGGATCGCCTGTGGCGTCCATTGCGCTCAGACTGAAGGTGGAACGGAGTATAGAAGGAACGCGGAGTAGGTTGTTAGTGGGAGGGGGAACGGCGCGCACACGGAAATCTCTTTTCCCCCTCCCACTGCACACACTGCACACGGACACAGCAATGCTTCAAGGACGGGTCAAAGGTCGCCATTTTCAACACGCCGGTGAAGTGACGTACAAGCAAACACGTTTTTTTTTTTCGCTTTCTCTCCTTTTTCAATTTTCTCGGCGGCTTTTTTCTTTAGTTCGCATTTGTTTTGTATTAGCAGTGTGTTGCCATGGATGACGATCCGGGCGCGGTTCGTTCTTCGTGGTTGATTCTGGAATTTATCTGAAACAGCGACGACGATCGTATGAAGGCGTTTAGATACTGCCCCTGAATGTGCTTTTTAAGTGGAACGTGCCGTGCATCAAGTGTGCCGTTGCGGATTTTGAGTTCGACATTGGACTACTAAGAAATGTTGGTTACTAGGAGACGCAGAGACCAGGCTCGACGTTTTCTCAGTAAGTAAAGTTTGAACGATTGAAGTGACCATTTATTCTGACTGCGAGACTCTGGTGTTGAAAGCGCGTCCTCTACAAACTCTGAAGTTTTATTTAAGAAAAAAAAAGTGCTAGTGTTTGGAGGTGTTGCGTTTTGATATATGCTCATTTTTTTGCGCGAAGGCAAATTACGTGAATGGGACTTGTGAAATGTCAACAGACCATTTTTGACGAGATATTTGGGAGAAGTAGAGTCAACTCATTCGTTGACTCGCAATCGCGCAACGCGCGAAGCTCTATCTACCATGTGATGTCTGAACGTTCGTGGCACATAAAGCAAATTCGCCAGTTTCGTCCGAGTTTTGTCAACACTTTCAGCCGTGCTGGGCTGAGTCTCGCCGATCCCCAAGACAAGCGAAATATCATCCGTCCTCCTGGCGAACATTCCGTTTGTTTTCGGGGACTAAATCACATTGATGCACCCTGACAGAGGGCTACTGATTGCTGCTTTTGAGCATTCTATACCTCCAAGAACGACACGCTATAGATCGATACGACGTACGCACAAAGGCGTCAGCAAACTACTAGGTATTGTTTTCGGGCTTACTGCAGCAATTGATTAAAACTAAATAATACCCGTTGATTGGTTGTTGTGAAAGCATTCTCCTCAAATGATACGAGTGAGGGACTATATACATGATCAGCAGCACTTGTGCAAAGTGTAGGGAGTGGTTCAGATGTCTAAGGCAGAGGGCGGCATTTTAGGTCGCCCTGACTCACCCTCACCTTCACAGCCACACTCACCTAAACCCCTCACTCACCCTCACCCTCACAGCTACACTCACCTTCAGCCCCTCACTCACCCTCACCCTCACAGTCACACTCACCGTCAGCCCTTCACTCACCCTCACTGAACCTCAGGGCCCTCTCGCACTCACGCCCCTCACCGCCCTCACGCCCCTCACGCCCCTCACCGCCCTCATGGCCCTCACGCCCCTCACTCGCTCATGGCCCTCACGCCACTCACCGCCCTCACGCCACTCAGCGCCCTCACGGCCCTCACCGCCCTCACGGCCCTCACCGCCCTCACCGCCCTCACGGCCCTCAGCGCCCTCATGGCCCTCACGCACTCATAGCCCTCACGGCCCTCACCGCCCTCACGGCCCTCCGCTTTCAAAAATGATCAATGAGTTTCAATCGACTTTCTACTGTGTTCCAATAGAGTCAATTGAAACTCAATATAAACTCAATGTCTAATGAGTTTGATCATTAGAAACTCGATTTTGATTCTATTGAATTTACTCATTAGAAATGCAATATAAACTGATCATAAGAAACTCAATATCGATTCTATTGACTTTACTCACTAGGAATGCAATCGAGTTTGATCATTAGAAACTCAATATCAATTATATTCATTTTACTCATTAGGGATGCCACAGAGTTTTATCATAAGAAAGTCAATATCGATTCTATTGAATTTACTCATTAGGAATGCAATTGAGTTTGGTCATTAAGAACTCAATATCGATTCAATTGAATTTACTCACTAGGAAGGCAATTGAGTTTCGTCATAAGAAACTAAATATCGATTCTATAAAATTTACTCATTAGGAATGCAATTGAGTGTGGTCATAAGAAACTCAATATCGATCTATTGAATTTACTCATTAGGAATGCAATTGAGTTTGGTAATAAGAAACTCAATATCGATTCTATCGAATTTACTCATTATGAATGCAATTGAGCTTGGTCATTAAGATATGAATATATATTCTTCTGAAATCGCTCATTAAGAATAAAATTGGGTTTGCTCATTAGAAATGCAATATGTATTCTTTTGAATTTACTCATTAGGAATGCAATTTAGTTTGGTCATAATAAACTCAATATCGATCTTATTGAATTTAGTCATTAGGAATGCAATTGAGTTCGGTCATAAGAAAGTCAATATCGATTATATTGATTTTACTCATTAGGAATGCATTTGAGTTTGGTCGTTTGTGGATTACTGCACCCGTGTGCACAGAACGATTATTGCTTGTACCAATGTTTTTCTATTAAAGGGGTACTCCACCGATTTTTTGAGCTACCTCAACTAACTATATTTTCTGACTCCCCGGCCTTTACTCTCTCTGGTATGCTATATAGAATCGCAAAATTCATAATAGGTATTGTGAAATCGGCAAATGAAAATGATGCAAAAACCAACATTCAAATATACGCGCACTTTTCAGTGCCGTGACGTTAGTGGCAGGCAGGCTTTCCAGTCAAGCAAGCAGCCAAAAAATAGAATATGCCAATCATTTGTTCCGTGCTGGAGCGCGAGTACTGCAGCGAGCTTCCCAAGCATTCATTTGACACCATGAAACTGCTTCGAATCAGTTTAAAAAAATATCTACAGCCCAAAGAGTGAACCCCTGCCTTCCACTGACGTCACTTTTTCATTGTTGCCAGTAGAGACTTCGAGCTTGAAAAACACGGTGAGGACCAAAACTGTAAATTCAATAACTTTGCAAAAAAACAATATTTTGATCTAATATTTGGGATACCATTTTCACGATGTTTTTTGGTTAGTTTAGCAAATTTTCAAGTAAATCGGAGACAATGAAAAAAACAGTGGAGTACCCCTTAAGGGATAGAGTCCAAGACGTCGAAACACTGCTTATCATTTATAGATTTCCAAGGAGGAAATAGCAAACTGGGAACCTTAGTAGATGCTGAGGTGGTAACCGGCTAAATGAATACCTTTCTTACATAGGGTATATAAGGCGGTGGGGTAGTCAAGTGAAGTACGATTAGCGGGTTGTGTGTGCTTAGTTACGATGATTGTGTTCGTTTCCTTTATGTGCTTTGTTTCCTTCATGTTGCATGCTTTAAAGAATTATGCAAACAAATTCTCAACCAGAGCAATTTTTTTTAAACGCAGTTGCAATTAATTCTGTTGAAGCACGTTGCAAAAAATTCAAATGAAAGTCAATTGCAATATTTTTATTAAAACTCAATAGCAAAAGTTCTATTGAAACACTATTGCCAAAATTCCATTGAAATGCAATTGCTAAAAATTCAATTAAGACTCAGTGGCCAATACCGTGGGACGAATCAATAACGACTCAATAGAAAAAGTCAATTAAGTTTTAATTGAGACTGAATGCGGTGTATTGAGTGAGTCCTTTACACTTTCAATTAAAAGTCAATTCATTTTTTTGTAAGGGTCACCGCCTTCACGGCCCTCACCGCCCTCACGGCCCTCACGCCACTCACCGCCCTCACGCCACTCACCGCCCTCACGCCACACATCGCCCTCACGCCCCTCACCGCCCTTGCAGCCCTGACACGCCTCACGCACTGATGGCCCTCACACCACTCAGGCCAGCTTCAGATGGGGCAATTTCGCCCAGAAACTTTACGTCGCAACACCAGCAGCACGGGTCGCCCGCGATCACACGCAGCAACTAATTGCTGCAATTTGCCATCGTCACCATAAAATTTTATTTTTCTTGCACTATTTAGACACAATTACGCATTATAAACGTGTTTTTGTGCATTTAAATCTCGTTAAGAATACTAATGCACCTTTCTGAAACAGTTTATTTCCAAAAAAAAATCGATTTTAAACCAGAACCAAGTCTTTCTGTGTCATCATCACCGGCAAGAGGTATCACGTGAAAATGTTGCGTCCCTGATTGGATGCAGCCGCTTCAAACAAATTCGAATTGCTCCGAGTTGCTTGCTTATTTTGAGCCGGACCCGATCTCAGCAATTCGTGTCGATCTAGGGAAAGCAAGAGAACAACCCGCCATTAATACCAAAAATGCTGAGAAAGATGCTCGATCTGAAGGGGCCTCACACACTCACCGCCCTCACGCACTCATGGCCCTCACACCACCTCATGCACTCACCGCCGTCACGGCCCTCACGGCCCTTACGCCTCTCATGCCACTCACTGCCCTCACGCACTCATGGCCCTCACGCACTCACCGCCCTCACACCACTCACGCACTCATGGCCCTCACGCCACTCACCGCCTTCATGAACTCATGGCCCTCACGGCCCTCATGGCAGTCACGGTCTTCATGGCCCTCTCGGCCCTCACGGCCCTCACCGCCCTCACCGCCCTCACGGCCCTCACGGCCCTCGCCGCCCTCACGGCCCTCACCGCCCTCACAGCCCTCACGGCCCTCACCGCCCTCACAGCCCTCGCGGGCCTCACTCACCCTCACACTCATGAATTTTCCTGGTTCAGAAACTCACTCACCCTCACCTCACCTGTGAAGATGAGGGTGAGTGAGGGTGAGTGAGGGCCCTCATGAGTGAGGTTTTCCGAGGTATGGTCTAAGGAACAGTCATACTTCTTTCCATGCAGGCGACAGTGGGTACCCCCCGGAGCCCTGGCTGATGACTGCTGTGCCTGGGCGGCTAGCACTTGTCACACCGGCTGGGCAATACAATCAGGCCCACGCCTTCATGAGGGCAGTCGTAGAGCGCTGCATCGGGCTGCTGAAGAGCAGGTTCCAGTGCTTGCACAGGCACCGGACCCTTTACCATCATCCGAAGATCGCCGGCACGATCGTGGCAGCCTGTGGGGTGCTCCACAATGTCTGCCTGCTCAGGAGAGGCCGAGCCAGAGCCACAGTCAGACTCAGACAGCAGTTCTGACGAGGACAATGATGAAGAAGAAAGCGCTGACGCAGCTCGCGAGCGGAGAGGCCTCCAGTCGAGGCGTCTCTACAGTTAGGGCAAGGCTGTGCGGGACCGCCTTGTGCTTCTGCCGAGCACAACCCACCTGCAACGCGTCCGTGAACGACTGCGTCGCACCCGTCGCCGCCGCCAGCACCAGTGATGCACTGTAACTCGTCACCGGGCCCTCTTTAAATTGTGTGTGTGCGTGTGTGTTTGTGCAGTGGGGTGGATGTTGTGCCGAAGCCATTTTGGACTTCGTGTGTGCTTGTGTAAGGTGATGTGGATGTGCCAGAGTCATCTTGTGCCTTCTTTGTGCACGTGTACAGTGTGGTGGGTGTTATGCCAGAGCAATTTTGGACTCTGTGTGTGTGTGTGCTGCGCCGTGGATGTGCCGAAGCTTTTTTGGAGTCTGTGTCAGTGTGTACAGTGCTGTGGATGTTGTGCCGGAGAGAGCTTGTTTGGACTCTGTGTGTGTGCGTAGGGAAGGTGTTTTAATGTTTCGGGTGTAAGCACCACAGGCTTGGATGCATGTGTACGTGTAGTGCTTTTGAATTCTTTTCAGTGCTTTGGGCACAGACTCCACAGGTCTGGATTGCGTGGGGTACGTGTAGTGTTTTTTTTTTACTTCTTTTCAATGTTTTGGGTGCATGCTCCACAGGTCTGGATTGCATGGGGCACATGTAGCATTTTTCACTTCTGTTGAATATTTTGGGTGCATATTCCACAAGTGTGGATTGCATGGGGCCGCACATGTAGCATTTTTTACTTGTTTTCAATCTTTTGGGCACAAGCTCCTCAGGTCTAACTTGCGTGTAAGCTTGTAGTGCTTTTGACTTGTATTCATTGTTTTTGGGTGCAAGCTCCGCAAGTCAGAATTGCATGTGCACGTGTAGCGCTTTTGAATTCTGTCCAATGCTTTGGGTGCAAACTCCACAGGCCTGGATGCAAGTACACGTGTAGTACATTTGAATTGTATCTATTGTTTTGGGTGCAAGCTTCACAGGTCTGGATTGCATGGACACGTGCGCTCCCAACTTGTGTTTAATGCTTTCGTCGCAAGCTCCACAGGTTCCTGGATTACATGGGAACTTGTAATGCTTTTGATTTCTGCTGTGGCACTTGCAGCTTTTTTCTGGAGATCGGCTGATGAAGGCCCGTGACACACTAATAACAGGACTGCAAAGGATGTTTGCAAGAAAAAAGAAGTAGTGCCATTCAAAGTAATTTTGCCCACTATGTTGCATCTTTGAGGTGGTGCATCGTGGCTGGGTGTGATTAACTTTACTCTAAACTTATCTGAGTGAGGAACCTCCTTTGCTAGCAAATGTGCATTTTTTCGATTTTTCACCATACTATTGGGCTCGAATGAAATGCAAACACCAGAGCCCGTGGCTGTCAACAGATGCTGCACCTGCAGGAGGCATCCGGAAACTGATAAAACTTTGGGGGGGAGAATAGAGCGCTGCGAGCAGGTGCGTCCTATTTCGATGTGCTTGAGCCTTGCCCAGCACAACCCAAGCGTCCACAATGCACCGGTGTTCTGCTGGAAGTTCCGTCACTGTTCGCATTTCATTCAAACCCGATAGGACAGTCACTGTGTTTAATTCCGATTTCCCATATTGCTTCATGTGTTGCGAGATATGCAGTATTTTGGAGCAGATGCTTAGGTCTGTGCAGTCCACACATCTTATGGTTGTTAGTCCCTGTCTCTGAATTAATTTGACATAAACAAATTCATGGCAAAGAGGTTCCGGGTGAGGATTCGCCACAGTCCGGTGTTTTTACGACTCGTAGAGTACGCTGTTCGAAAACATGAATGTTAGCGGTGTGTATATAGCCACAACGCTTAGTAAAAGAAGTGTTTTAGAGCGCAGCTCTTAGGGGCCCGTTCCCGGCTTGAGCGGCGTCGCCGTCGGCGTCGGCGTCGCCGTCGGCGTCGGCGTCGGCGTCGCGTCGGCGTCGGCGTAACCACAACCCTCGTAACCCTCGTGAGGGTTACGAGGGTTACGAGGGTTAATCTCATGAGGGTTACCCTCACGAGGATCACGAGGGCCACGAGGTTACTTACCCTCGTAACCCTCACGAGGGTTACGAGGGTTAGTTACCCTCAAAAGGGTTACCTTCACGAGGGTTACCCTCACGAGGGTTAGTAACCCTCGTGACCCTCGTGAGGGTTACTAACCCTCACGAGGGTTAGTAACCCTCGTGAGGGTAACCTTCACGAGGGCTACCCTCACGAGGGTCACGAGGGTTATGAGAGTTACCCTCACGAGGGTTACTTACCCTCGTAACCCTCACGAGGGTTACTTACCCTCGTAACCCTCACGAGGGTTACGAGGGTTAGTAACCCTCGTGAGGGTAACCTTCACGAGGGTTACCCTCACGAGGGTCACGAGGGTTATGAGAGTTACCCTTACGAGGGTCACGAGAGTTACCCTCACGAGGGTCACGAGAGTTACCCTCACGAGGGTCACGAGAGTTGCCCTCACGAGGGTGACGAGAGTTGCCCTCACAAGGGTTACTAGGGTTACCCTCACGAGGGTCACGATGGTTACCCAGGTCAAGTGACCCCCCCTGGGGTCACGTGACCTGGGGATACCCCCGAGGTCACGTGACCCCCCGTTGACGTCATAGCCACTGATGACGTCATCAGTGACGTCACTGATGATGTCACCGGCATCCGCATCGTCATCGTCATCATCACTGATGACGTCATTAGTGACGTCACCGGCATCCGCATCGTCATCATCATCACTGATGGCGTCATCAGTGACGCTACTGATGACGTCATCGGTATCGTCACGTGGCCCCAGGTCACGTGACCCCCGCGACGTCACGTGACGCCCCAAGGTCACGTGACCCCCAAGGTCACGTGACCCCCCGCCCCCGAGGTCACTTGACCCACCCCCCAGTACCCTTCCCTCCTCCTCCTCAAGAGCTGCGCTCTAATTCGGCGTTACAGGGAGTTGTAAACGGCTTTCATTTTTTGGCTTGTTGCTACGAAAGGTGGACATATTCAGCCGGTGGCCAGGAATGAGGAACCGCTGATTGCTACTTGTGTTTTTTTTTCAAAAGACGCTATGTCGGATTATTGGCTACACTCTTAAAAATAAAGGAGCCCAAAGGGAGTCACTGCTTTCATGACTCTCTTTGACACTTCACGACTCTCTTAGAGAGTCAATTTTTCGTGCGACTCTGTTTTGACTCTTCCCCTTCTCAACGGGAGTCACAGGTCAGCAGCATTTGCCCTACCGAAAAAAAACAGTATGAATGCTGCTTCGCGGCGTCCAGCCGGCAACCCAAGCCCCGCTGTTTCCCTATGCACCCCTAGAAAGGGAGTCCGACACCATTTAGTTCAAAGCTTTGTCGACATTTTTTTTTCAATAATGATTGTGCAAAAAAAAATTAAAAATGAAAGGAAAAAAGAAATAATGCACAAAGTTTCGTCGACATTCATTTTTCTCAAGAATAGTTGTAAAAAAAAAACATGTTTATTTTTTGCATCGAACCTGGGTTCGCTCCGTAAGAAGCGGGCATCTTTCCACATAGCTATACCTGCGAGTACTCGTTTTGAGAATTCGATTTATACGAGGACGGGACTCCGTAAGTGTATCGGGAGCTTTATCTCGTGGATCGGTGGACAAGACGAGTTCTACAAATCGGGTGGCGCCTTGGTACCACCTAACTAGGCGGTGTGTTTCGCGGAACCCATGACTGCTAAAGGTATCCATTACGTTTCTGGCGCTCGTATTTGCACCCCGTTTGCTTCCACTGCGGGTGTTCGAATTCAGGTTCGATTCTTGGCATTGATGATGCTGCTTGCGAGGAGTTCTTTTTTGACTAGGGCACGAACTTTTTATTCAAAATGCTGTATATGTTGCACTTATTTTCTAGCCCTCTGGCTGTAGCTTATTGTGAAGGTTGTGGGAAAAAACGCGCATTGAGTAATTACAAAAAAATATATATATATATATATATATATATATATAATGTAGTGTCGAGCACCGTCCGACGGCGCTCTTGCAGAACATTCACGTGCCGTGCAATGGCACTCCACTCGCGTCTTCAAGTGCCGTCCGAATGTCTTATGTAAAGCGAATTGTCAAAACAAGTTTTGCGAAGTTGTAGCGTAGCTTATTGGCATGTGTAGCGTAGCTCGCCTCATAGGCAGCGGAGCCGGATTCGATCCACAGTGAGGGCTTACATTTTAAAATCTTTTTCTCGAACATTTTGTTTCGTCGAGGCATTTGGCGATATTTACGTCATTTCTTTTTTACCATTAACACTGGGGAAAAACAAAAGGATGTTGTCGACGAAACTTTGCTTAAAGGGGGCCCTGCAACAACTTTTTGAGTGGTTTTTATTTGCACCGAACTTGAGCGCACTGAACAAGTAACTTAATCTTTTCTCCAATTTCGCTTTATTTTGAAAGTTATAGGCAATTTAGAATTACAAAAACAAACAGAAAATAACCTCCTTCATGACGTCGTAGGTCCTGGCTTAACTGGCCGTGAACTAGAGGAGTAGTGAGCTCATAGAGCGCTCACGGCTGCTGCACTCCGTGTCGCCGGCTCGAGAGAGCGCCACTAAAGCATGTTCTGGATAGGCTGTATGAGGCGGGTGGCCAGGACGGCTTGCATTGCATTTGCTACTCGATTAAGGACTAATTTGGCATCACATGTCATTGGCCACAAATTACAGCAAACACGGTGTAAAGATCAGTTCAGAACGGGAGCCACTTCGCGCTGCCATACCGCCAAATGGCCAAATCGC